ATATTAGTAATATTTCTGCTATTAATCATAATTCTCTGTTCATCTTTCTGGTTTAAACAAGGCCAAAGATCCTGAAGGCCAAACTACAGGAGTTGTCCATCTGAGGGGCAGGTGTAGTCTAAAAGACATTTAACCATGAAATGTTTAAGATGTTTATAAAATGTTCAACTTTTAAACATTTGTACTTAAAATGTAGAATTTCTTTCATTTTATTTATCTTAATGTTTAAGTTTGAATTTCAGGTCATAGAATCACTTTAAAATTACTTTTCAGTAAGTTATATGTCTACAATTCTGGTTCAAATATAGAACTTTATTTTTGCTGGATTGTTAAATTATTTGTAAGTTAATATTGCTTTAATGGACAATGATTTTTAAAAAAGTGAACCATTAAAACATCGATGTTAAATGTGATGTGTTTGCAAATTTGGGTGCACCTTAGGGCTGCACAATATATCGAAAATTTATTGTTATCGCAATAATAGACTGTGTAATATGCATATCACAACAACTGCATAAACTGCAATACATGGTTGACTCAAAACTTTGCATTTATGAATTTTGTCATTCAGATGGAAGCTTGAAGCATTTCACCAGTCGAATGAAGTCCTTTATGTATTTGGTCAACTGAATGGATCTCTTCTTATTTAAAAAGAAAATTCAGGCTGGAATGGAAATGATTAGTTTTTTTAGGTTGTTTTCTTGGCTTTGAACGCAAAGCAGAAATACATCAACACTACATGCTTATATATATTTGTTCATTTATCACAAATCATATCATCATCGCAATATTAAGCACGGTTATCGCACATCGCAGGTTTTCCTAATATTGTGCAGCCCTAGTGCACCTGACTTTTGTACTGGTGCACCTAAGGAAAAATGTTAGGCGCACCGGTGCGACCGGTGCAAAAAGTTAGTCTAGATCCCTGCATACAGCTTTGAACATGCAGACTTCATGCTGCATGCTTCTCTCCACACTGACTGGTGGTGTGGTGTGGGTGTGGCAGAGTGGTGAATGCTGATGCCTCGCCGTTTGCACACAGTTAGCTCTAAATCCCACATACATGCACCAAATCTGCACCAAATTTTGTGTGCACCATCAGGAAGCTGCTCAACATGTTGGTGTTGTAGTTTGACAAGATCACTTTAGCCCCCCATTTGTTTGTCCGTTCGTCGGTCTGTGTCAGTCGGTCTGTCCATTTGTCCATCCGTTGGTCTGTTCTCCTTATGAAGTTATTTAAATAATGAAGGTCTGTGATGATTCCATCAAAACTGCTAACAGTTGGTCACTACTGAATGGTAGTTATGGTTATGGTGAGTGGGGATGGATATAAAATCCATGTGAGCGGAGGCCTTCTAAGTGGGCCCATTGCTCTCCGCAAAAAGATCTTTATTTATTTATTTATTTATAAGGTCTTTATTCAAACCTTCTCATCCCTCGGATGAAGGACACAAGGTTAGAAACACTCAGTGTTCTGAGCTTCTCAGGATCCATAAAGGAGTCCCCAAGAATTATTTTCCTTTGACCACTCAGAGCCAGGCAGTGGCCTAAGTAGTGCAAAGAGGTCTCTAATTCAATGTCACAGGCATTACACAGACTATTGTCATGGAGTCCCATCACCATTTTGTGGCCAGTGTACTCTAAGTACAACCAGTGTACTTAGAGTTTTCCTTGACAGGGAGATGAGAACTTTCCCAAACCTTAGATTTGGGCTGTTCATCAGTTCCCATGCCTGTCTACAGTCCGTCAGCTCCCTCCAGCGGATTGAGTGTTGATGTCAAATCCAGGCCTGTAGGGCAGTCCTACAGACTGTTGTTGAGGTACAGTATCTACAACAGGCTCTGGTTCTTTGAAGTGAGCCTGACTGCCAGCTTTTGTGAGGTAGTCAGCTCTCTCGTTACAATAAATGCCAGTATGTCCTGGTACCCATTCAACAGTAACACTGTTATCTCTCCCCAGTTGGTTGACTGCTTTGGCACACTCCCAAGCCAGTAATGACATAAAGTGTGGCCCTCAGAGAACTTTAATAGCAGCTTGGCTATCTGTTAGGATGAATATTTCTTTCTGTGTACACTGAAGGTCTTTGAGAGATGCCACTGGTGGAATGATCTCAGCTTGAGATACAGTTGCAAAACAACCTAGTGGGTATTTATGCTCTCTCTTACTATGGTTGTGCAAAATCAGCACCCCTGCACCTACTGGCCCCTTCAGAAGGGATCCATCTGTAAAACAGTAGAAATGACTGGGAGATATGTCCGTCATAGAGAGGCTAATCCAGACAGACCTGTCTTCTATCTCTGTCTTAAAACTTGGCTCAAAATTGTATATTTTTTGACCATTCTGTCTCCAGGTCCTGCAGTTACTGGAACAGCAGCAACTGCCCAGTCCCAGATTCTAGTGCGCTGTGAGTCAGATAGGCTTTTCCACCTACCAGACTGGCATAGCCTTACTGCACTGGATGCGGCCTCCCCTAAGATATGTAGATCTAATGGAGCCAGGTCCAGTAGGACTTCCATGGCTGCCGTGGGTGTTGTTCTGATGGAACCTGTGATGCTCAGGCAYGCCATTCGTTGCACATGGGTGAGCATCACTCTTACCACCCCAACTTGGACTCGAACCCACAACACTAAAGCAGCATAGCATAGTATGGAGTGGACTATGGCTGTGTAGATCCATCTGATAACCTTTGGGGTAGCACACCAACGACTACCTGCAATTCTACGGCACTGGTGTAGGCACATTGCTGCCTTCTTACACTTTTCATTTACATGTCTTTTCCAGTTAAACTTCCTGTCTAGATAGACACCCAAGAACTTAACTGACTCTGACAGAGAGGGTTCTACACTCTCCTACTTTGGAGGTGAGTAAACTTTCCTTGACTTCTTATGAGAAAAAAAAAACAATTCTGTCTTGTTCGGGTTGACAGAAAGTTCCTGCTCGCGGCAACCTCTGGATACTATGTTTAGTCCCCTTTACATCAGGTTACATAAAGTACCCAGGCAGAAGCCTTCTATAAGTATGACCAAGTCATCTGCATACCCTTGTGTATGGATCCATTCAACTCATTTAGTAAGCTGTTGACAACCAGGAACCAACACAGGGGCAAGATTACTCCTCCCGGTGAACAGTCCCATCTGAGGTTTACGGTTTATCGAACAGTCCCCCAGTGTTGAAGATGCCTTCCTTGTCCAAAGCATGAAAATGAACCAATTTGTAGTTGTCTCATCCACACCTTTGCTGGCAAGTGCTCTTTCTATAGCTTCTACGGGTACATTGTCAAATGCCCCTTGTATGTCCAAAAAGCAGCCAAGCGCATATTGTCCACATGCCAGACTGCGTTCTATTCTCAAAACAACATCATACAAGGCTATTTCTGCAGAAAGACCTGCGTGATATGCATGTTGTTTAGGACTTAAAGGTGATAGCATTAAAACACCATCCCTTACATGCCGATCTATTAACATCTCCATTCCCTTCAGCAAGAAAGATGTTAAGCTGATTGGTCTGAAAGATTTAGCTTCTTTATATGTTGGTACTGAATGATGACAGGTGACACATCCACAACGGTTGGCGTTGATTTGTTTAAGCTTTTAGCTATCCTTGTGTTATATTTCTTTTTAAGCTAGATTTTTTTTCCACTTTAACATATTTAACCTTTTTAGCCAGACATTTACTCATTTTTTCCTTCAGCATTTAACAGCTTTTTACTTGTTTTAGCTTCAAGATAATCTTTAGATGCATTAACCTGTTAACTAGGTTTTGCTGCCTTTAGCTTCTACTTGGCCTTTTGCAATGTAAAGCTTTTAGCTAAGTTTTGCTGCTTTTTTCCTAGTATTTTTTCTAATTGTAGCTTTTAGCTATGGTATATACTTCTAGTGATTGTTTTACTACCTTCAGTTTTAAACTAGCTTTATTTTACTTTTAGCTAGTTTTCTGTCATTTAGCTTTACCTTCTAGCTTTAGTTTGTAGTTACTTTTGCTAATTTTAGTTTTTAGATCACATAATTTTACTCGTTTTAGCTAGTGTTTCACTTTTTCTAGCTTGTAACAAGTGATCAGCTTCTTCTAGCTTCTGACTGTTCTGCTTGTTTTACTTTTACCAATTTCTTCAGTGTGTTTCAGAACAATCTTTAGGGGACACACTTCTGTATTTCTGTTAGTTGAACGTCAGACTCCAGCTGTGAAACAATGCTGCATTGTTCTGCTTTTCTGCTGTTTAGTTCTGCAGATATAACCGTCAAGTTAAGAAACAAAGGACCAGACGCCTTCAAAAAGGGACTTTACGGGGACTACATCTCTGTGGAGCAACGCATCTTCAGTGATGGATCCCGGATCTACAAGTTGAAGAACAAATCTGGTGAGATTCCTCAGATGGTAGACCCTAGTTTAAAACATTTTAGATTTACCAAAAGCACTCAGTAGGGAAATCTAAGTCTAGTTTAGGTTTTATTTTTGTTCCTACAGTTTAACCTCATAGATATTTCTAATTTATACCAAGCGTCTGATGAATCTCTTCACAGTAAGTGTTCCGTTAAACTCATTATTTCCTGAAATGAAACTGAGCTGCTGAAATGTAGCAACTATTTATTCTTCTAAGTTTAGATTGAGCTACATTTTTTATACTGTATACTTGGCAGTATTTGGTAAATTATTTATATGTTCTAAGAATGCTTCTTGGCAATAAATCTTATACTGGGCACCTGATTACCAGAAGCTCAAAACAAGTGTCAATAATCAACATAATAAGCTGTTTGGCTATGACAGAGAAGATTTAGCAAATTTTTCACATGCGAAACCTACATAATCCACTCTACTGTTCATCCTAGAAATGCATGTTCCTTACAAACGTGACACCATTTAAAATTTAAAGTGCCATGCCTTTCAAATTTAAAAGGTTTATTGCCAAGAAGAATTGCTACATCAAAGAAATAATCTACCAAACACAAATTTCCTTACTTTTTGTGCTAAGTTTATACATCAAATATTGCTATCAAAGGCAAAAATGTTTTTGCTTGTGTCTGTGTGTGTGTTTGCTTGTTTGTCATGTTAGCAAAATTAGACTGACTTAATTGTTTTTTTGTACAGTGCCCACTGATAATGTTTGTTTTGACTTGGCTCTATATAAATAAAACCTTAATTCCTATGAAGTTGGGATGTTGTACAATTGGGAATGGGTACCGAATTTGATACTTTTTGATGTACAGACCGAATTCTGTCGGTACTACCGAAAAACTATTCACGTAACATCAAACGGTACCATGTTTCGGTACCTAAACACATCATTGCGACCTGTTTGGCATAAGAGTTGTGAGTTTTCCATGCTTGTCCTGAACGTAGCATCACACAAGAGAGTAATGACGTCAGCAGCCGCTGGTTCAGTAAACAGAGCTCCGTCTGAACGTAGCTTGAAAGTGTGAGCCTCGCAGCTCCTGGAGTAAAACTCGTCGAACAGACCGCCTCTGAATTATCTGGTGGATTAATTATCTTGTGAGCACGACGCTTGCTTGCTCAAAGTAAATAAAGTACCATCACTTTCTTTATTTCGTCCACCATTAAACAGAGACCGACAGAGGAAAACAACAGAGGCGCTTCCTGACAGTCTGACCTCGTCTGACCTGAAAGATCACAAGCAGCTAGCTTGAAGGGTTGGGCTCGTTTTGGATGCTCAAAACGTTGCTTGAATAACTTTTATTTATTTTAACTCAATTCTCTTTTACTTATTTGATTTAAACTTATTTGTCTTCCATGGACCTCCATCACACATTTTTCTAGCGGGGAAATAACATCAATAGAAATATGTGGAGCTGGATTTTAATTTGTGCAATAAGACAAAACAGTCTTGTTGTTTTCAACAGTTTTCACCTTAAAGAAATAAGTTAAACAACTGATGTTACAATACAAAGAGTTGGATGTTGTCTTGATATTTGTTAATTTTATATATTGAGAAATATGTTAAATAAAGAAAATTAATAAAAGTTTATTATTGAAAAACAACACACACAAAGTATCGAAAATTGGTACCATTAAGCACCGGTATCGATTCCCAGGTACCAGATATTGGTACCGAATCGATTCAAACGTCAAAGGTACCCATCCCTATGTACAATACAAAACAAAAAACAGAAAATGATGATTTACAAATTTTCAACCCATATTCATTTGAATATACTACAATGACAAGATAATTAAAGTTGGAACAAATTAAATTTATTGTTTTTGCAAATCTTCACTCATTTTAAATTTGATGCCGCAACACGTTCCAAAAGACCATGGACAGGGTCATGTTTACCAGCGTGTTATGTCACCTTTCCTTTTAACAAGTGTTTGGGAACTGAGGACACTAATTGTTGAAAATATTTATGTGGACTTTTTCCTAATATTGTTGTGCAGCTTCAGTTGGTCAACAGTCCGGGGTCTCTGTTGTTGTAGTTTGCTCTTCATAATGCGCCACACATTTTCAGTGTGAGACAGGTCTGGACTGCAGGCAGGCCAAACTCGTACACACTCTTTTACTACGGTAGGGATCTGTGTCTTGTTTTCTGTCTCTCTCTTGTGTTCCCTTTGTGTCATCACTTCTCATTCTACCTCAGTCTGTTTACCTGTCATTTTCCCTGTTAACCACACTCACCTGTCAGTCCTTGTAATCAGTCCTCCCTCAGCTGTTGCTCATTCCACTTTCTCCTTCTGTCTGTATAAATCTGGTCTTATTTCTCCACATCCTCACTTGTTCATGGTATGGTTTTTGTCCATCGTCTTGGTCCTCTGTCTCCCTGTGTTTCCTTGTGCCTCCCAGACTAAGTTTTTTGCTGCCTTGACAGGTTTTGGTTTATTTGATAAATAAGTTTTTATTTTTCTGAGTTTCTTGTATCCACCTGCTTTTTGGGTTCATCTTCAACTTGACCTTGACAACTACAAAGCCACGCTGCTGGAACGGGTGAAGAATGTGGCTTGACATTGTCTTGCTGAAATAAGCAGAATGTCCCTGAAAAAGACTTTGATGGCAGCATATGTTGCTCCAAAACCTGTAACAATGGTGCCTTCACAGATGTGCAAGTTATCCAAGCTATGGGTACTAACACTCCCATACCGTCAGAGAAGTTGGCTTTTGATCTTTACGCTGATGACAATCTGGATATCAGGTGGTGTGCAGAATGACCCAGGGTGAAGGCAAAAATCCAAAAAGGAACAAAAAGGCTTCATTAAATAAACAAAAGAGGGCTGACGTGGCAGCAAAAACTCACAATAAGTCTCAGCAGGAGTAGGCACGAGGAACACGGAGGACACCACACAAGCTGGGGTTGACAGCACAATGAATGGACAAAGACTGAACACAGGACACAGAATATAAAGGTGAACTAATGAGAGACAATGGGAAACACCTGAGGAGGCACAAGAGGAAACAGGTGTGCATGGGTGGGGCTGGAGGCACGACAACAGGGAAGAGATACACAGGGGAACAGAGAAACACTAGAACGACGGCTCCCGACGTCAAAAAAGGGAGAGGTACGGGACTCGAGGAACACGGACACAACACAGGGGAACTCAGGACAAAACACACACAAAAGTCCAGGGGGATGGCCAGGAAACCATCCAGTACGTGACCCAGTAGAGACAGGAGGTCTGGCAGAAACAGCAACAGATGTTGAGCCACGGGAGTAGGCGGGAGCAGACGAAGAGCCACGGGAGTAGGCGGGAGCAGACGAAGAGCCACAGGAGGAGGCGGGAGCAGACGAAGAGCCACGGGAGGAGGCGGGAGCAGACGAAGAGCCACGGGAGGAGGCGGGAGCAGACGAAGAGCCACGGGAGGAGGTGGGAGCAGATGAAGAGCTGGCGGAGATTGGAGGAGCCAGAGTGTCCACGATGGCGAACACAGGCAACAGAGGCGATGAAGAGGCGATGGGCGACAACCCACGACTCACCAACTCAGGAACTACTGGAAACGCCAACTCAGAAGACTCAGTAACAGATTCAGCAGACTCAGATGACTCAAGAGCCAAAACAGCCAGCTCAGGCAGCGAAGGCTCAAGCACCTCAGCAGCCGGCCCAGGAAACACAGAAGGAGTGGGAGGGTGGGCGTTCAGATGCTCAACCAGGATCTGCTGAGCATAATTGCTGACCCTCCAGTGACCAGGCAGGAGCAGCAGATTGGGACGCCTTGCCATGGCGTCTTCGATCTTCTGGCAAAGGAGCTGTTTAGCCGCGGAAGTAGAGGACCATCGGAGGATCATCAGTGATCCGGTGATCAGATGGTCAGTCACCTGGTCCTCCCATGGCGGCAGATTCAAGTTGAAGACAGGTCAGCTGTCTAGTTTGCACCATCCTGGTAGGAAAAGATGCTTTCAAAAGGAGCACAGTTCATGTGCATTATTTCTCAGATGAAGAGAAAATATAATATTAAAATATCAGTTCGATAAAACAAAATTCAGTCACTTTAAAAAAGGTAACTCCCATAAAAGCAGGCTGAAGAATCTGCAGATGCGGCCTGCATCTGGAGTGTTCATTAGGATTATCTTTTCATTTGCTTTGGTTCTGTTCTATTCAATGGGAGAACATTTCTTTTTTTCTTAGAGAATTTTGGGAGAGCATTATTTTCAGAACCAAACTCGAGACCCAACAAGACTCTGTTGAGACTCAAGAAGAACTTCAGCATGATTGAGAGCAAGAGGGAAACTGAGAGAAGACTGACAGTGGAGCAAAACTACAAGTAGCATTTATGATAACAGATTCAGACAGTTTTATGACTTGGTCCTGCAATAGGGACCATGTTTAGATGAACTAACCAACGAGAGAAAGACTTTTCTTTTCTTCTCTTTCTGAAAAAATACCAAGAAATATTTTAACTTAAAAGAAACCAAAAGTGTAAGCTTTGAAATCTAACTTTCTAATCCTCTCATCCACCCAAAGTTACTTCAATACAACTAATCAACATTGCAAGTACTTTGCTGGATGTCTAACATGATTTTAACAGCAAAACCACATGTAGAGTCTTTGTTGCTCATTACACATGCACATTATGTACATTGTTGGAAACTGGCTTGACTTGACTCACACACCCCTTGGATCATGTGTCTGACATGACGTGATTATTTTATTCTATTATTTCTATTGCTATTGTTATGTGAATCTATATATCTGCTGCTGCTGTTACACCTGAATTTCTCCTCGGCGGGGCAATAAAGGCTGTTTCTATTCTGTTCTTTTCCACCTTCAACTGCTACAATAAAGAAGTCAAATGAGACATCAGTGAATAAACAATCACATTTAAAATCATGAAATAATATGACATATACACAACAATAAAGAATGAAGTAAGAATAATTATTATCAGTTCTGTTGTCGTTCATTCAGATTTCCACAGAATGTCAGGGACACAGAATCAAATTCCAGAGAAGATCACAGTCAGATAAGGAAGGTGGTCTTAGGTCTAGGGTCCTCGTTACTATGGTAAAATGGTCAGAGGCATCTGACTGGCTGGAATTTACGACTGTAGGCCTGTAAACTGAGGATGAGGAAAGGTTTTTATGTTAGGGTGGAACACATGCATTCTCAGATAGGTGGAAAATTATTATTCTATTCTAAAATTATTCTATGTTCGATGACATTGATCCACACGGTCCATACTCCTACAACTACAAACACTGCTACTATAACATCAATAACACAAGTCTAGTCGAGTAAAAGTAAAACGTTGGCTGAAAAATACTTACTCCTGTGAAGTGTGAATGATCAACATTTCAATTAAGTGTAATTTGTTACTTTACACCTCTGTGAATGAAGCTGTCAGAAAGCTATTAGGGGATGTACTTTTACATTAACCCCATCCATGTAGGCTGCCACAGCTGAGCCACCCTAATCTACATAAAAGCAGTTTTACACTGTTGGTTTTACAGATATAGAGTACAAGTAATGACCAACACTTATCTAGCTCAGATTTATCACCAGTCAGTTATTTTGTAATCTTCTTTTTTAGGTCAAATTGTGTCAAACAAGAAGGAAGAATTAACAGCCATTCTGGACCATTTTAACATCCAGGTAACTTATAACAGTGTGTGTTCTTTATGTTTCTTTGTGTTTTGAGGTGGCTTCATTTGTCCTGATCTTATTGTGAAGTCACTGTTTGAAGTATGAAATTTGTTTGTGTATTCCAGCTGGACAACCCAGTTTCCATCCTCAGCCAAGAAATGAGCAAACAGTTCCTGCATTCCAAAAATGAATCGGACAAATATAAGGTACCATGTTGAGCTCGCTCATTTCAGGGGTTTATCCTCTAAGGTTCCATCTGTTCTATGTTTGTTTCTCTGCAGACGTCTTCAGTAAAATTGGTTCTGTTTCTCCTGACAGTTCTTCATGAAAGCAACGCTGCTGGAGCAGATGAAGAGAGATTACATCCACATTAAACACACAGAGACAATCACTCGTCAGCAGGTGGAGAGACAGGAGGAGGTACGGATCTGCATTTAAAACACAAACTTCCTGTTCTTCACCTATTACTCCTGCAGAACACTTATATCACAACACTAATATGACAACAGTTTATTCTCTTGATATTTTGTAAATAAACTAGACACCACATAGTGGTAACATAATGACCCCCCGCACGCACAAATGCACCAAAACTCAGAAG